CACTGCATTATAGGGTGGGATTGTATTTGCTTTGCTAGTCTTAATTTGTTTTGAATGGGGACTGTAACAAGCAGGGTGCACAAAGGTGTTTGTACTGTGATTTCTGTGCCAGTTTGAAAAGAAAAAGTATCTTTGGTGATATGGATCACACTGAAACTCTCTCATGGTCCTGAGCTGTGAGATTTTAGCCTCAGTTTGGGTCGGTCAAGCTGTTTCAGATTTGGCCCACAGCTGAGCCGTTTGCTTTCACTTACTGGACGCTTCATTATAACAGGGTTTGCAAGGTGCACTCTCTGCTTCTAGGAAACAGTAAGCGGCACTCCTTTCACTGCAAGTAGGTGTGCTTTGCATATAAATTCACCTCCACAAAGTTTTGCAAGCCACACACAAAAAGCCTTTCTCCCTTCCATTAATTTTAGTTGCTATTCCTGAGCACTAATATTGAAATTCCTCAGAGGCTGAATTGATCTTGCTGGGTCAGCGCTGGCTCCAGCCTCTCCTTGTCACCAGTGAGGCTTTTCTGCTGTCTCAGTTGGCAGGGGGAGGTGGAGGCATGAGGGTGTTTTGGGCATTTGCTTCCACTTTGGGGAATGCATATGCTTGCTTGTTCAGGAATTGGCTGTTGGGAAATACAGAAAAACTGGCACTGAGGGTGTTCCCTGGATAGTTAAAATGACTGCTGGCATCTGTCCCACCTTCCTGTGAGGTCAGGCCCTCTGTCTTTCTCTGTGTGGAAGACACAACTGGCATAGGACTGGCACTGCCAAAAGGTCCAAATGACCTTTAAGTTTGGATAGCTAAAGGGAGTGTCCTTGGCTGGTGGGCCCACGGGGATTTTGAAGGGCACAACACTTCTCTGATGAATGAAATGGAGGAGGAAGCTTGAGAGACCTGTACTTGAGGATGGGGAGGGTCAGAGATGATCACAGAATCAGTTAGGCTGGAGAAGATCTCTGAGATGAGTCCCACCTGTGACTGACCACCACCTTGGCACTGAGTGCCATGTCCAGTCTTTCCTCAAGCACCTCCAGGGGTGGTGACTCCACCACCTCCCCGGGCAGCCCCTTCCAATAATGCAGAGTGGAGTCAGGAAATATTCTGTGTGCAGGCACTTGTTGAGGGGCCAGCACACAGGAGGAAAGTGACTCTCCCACAACAAGACATCTGCTAAAATATGTGACATAAGAAACCCAGCGCTTCAGACATGCGAGAGGATGACTGTAGTGCACACAACTGCAGGGATGAGACAGCACTTCTGTTCCAGCAGAGGTAAAGCAAAGTTTAAGCTCTGTGTGGGATGTCTGTGTGTCAGTTCTGTTGACTGCACAACCACCGGCAGTGAGTCAACTGGAGCTGACCATGTCTTTCCCCAAGCCATGCCAGCTCTAGTCTGGGCAAATCAAGAACGTGTCAGCTCGATGGTATGAGGATGAGTCAGTCTGCAACACCTAAAAGCTGGCACGAGAGGAGTGCAGTGCAATTTCCTTCCCAGCTGGCACAGATCCGGGGCCAGCAGGCTCGACGTGAGCCAAGCACGGAACGGAGGGAAGCTGTGAGTTAGAGCCTGCTTGTCTCACTGCAGGGGTTTCACACAGCATCCTGCCAGGGGTGGATGGTGCCTGTGCTTCTGTAGGAAGAGCCTGGAGTCCATAAAACACCTACAAATAACT